GGGAGTGGGACATGAAAATATTTTCCACAGCCAATGTATAGAGTGGCAGTTGAAAGAACTCATCTTGACAGAGGAAGGCAGAACTTGGAATTCTTTCTGCTGTTCCTGTGTTTTTGAAGAGTGAGTTTTGTGAAACTGTGAAAACAACTACTTGGCACTTAGGGACATAAGAATGTCTCTTAAATGCCAAGTAATGAGAATTGCCTGGCCAGGATGTTGTAGGTTCCACTTAGGCACAGGGTGAGGCAATGCTGCTCAGCATCATGATGAGCTGTAAAAAAAATTACAGGAGGCACAGGGAGAGACAGCAGTCAATCCAGCCAGAGTGGGAAGCAGAGTGGGAAGCTGGGAGATTGCCAAGCTTTCCTAGCTGAATCAATTGCACAACCATTATAATGCCATGGCTTACTGAGTAATAAATTTACTGATGAGTTTAACAGGTGTGAAAATAGCAAAGTACTTTGACCATTCTGTGATGCTGTGGTTCTAAGCCTCAGGCATGAAGATTTATTCAGCAGCCATTTATTGTATGATAAAGTGTCCCCAGGACTGGGGTAGGTAGAAGTCTCTGTCATTCATCTGGCCTGGTTGATAAGGAGATCCAGGGTTCAGAGTCACTCTTTGCCACTTACAACAAACACAGACCCAAAACTGAGCACATTGACTCAATACCTGCCTTCACTGTGTGGAGATACAGGGTTGCCCTGCTCAAGCACTTGCCCCAGTAGCTGCCTGCAGACTGATAGATGCCTTCTTATCTGTGGGCTCACAGAAAAATAACCTTGGGCCTCAAAATCAGATGTGTGGGATACAACTGCTCTGTAATGAGATGATGATTTGATTCAAGTGTCACAACAAAGGCATCTTGTTTGCATGAGTACAGAGGAGTAGTGAGTGTGAAACATAAGTGCATGAAGTTGGGGTAATTTGCACTGAAGCATGGAATAGCAAGAAAGGACTGAATGCAAGATTTGTCCTAGGATGGGACTGCATCAACTTCTGGTTTACTAACAGAAAAATCATAAATCATTCTGAATCCTTATAATCCAGTTCCCATAATGAAAGTAGGTTAAAAAGAGAGGCGATTCAAGATAGCAATTTAGGAAAAAAAAAAAAAAAAAAGAACTTTTTTAGTTCAAGGGCAAAGTTAATTAAGTTGACCAAGAAGGACGTTCACATTTGAAAGATTCAGGACCCAGCAATTTTTCAGAAGTTCAGCTTTTCTTAAAGACATAACTGTTTCTTTTGGAGAAGAACTTCAGAATTAACTTTAGGGCTTCAAGAACTGAAAGGCAAATTAAAGGATATTCTTTTATCAAGTCCATTATGTTTTTAACTTTAGAGTTAGACTTATGCTGTTGTGGAGCCTGCCATAGTTTACTGGAAAGCTTAAAATAATAGAGGTATAATTATTGTCCTTGAACATTGTCTAATTGCATCTGACAAAAAACATGCTACAATAACAGTAATTTTTACTGGCCTCAATTTCAACTTTTGGATGGCAAGTAGTTGGTCAAAACTACCCCATTTTCCATATATTTTTTTCTTTGTAATGAATGAAACAGTTGGAGAAAGTTTCTGGAATATCCTCTTTGGAGGGGATGACAATTAGTTATATTGATAACACATTTGCTTTGTGTATCTGTGGGAGCCAAAGATTACTGTCCTCTCACATGATCAGCTAGGATATAGTCTTCTGATTAATCCAAGCTGTAGAGTGAGAAGCACCTCTGCAACAGCCTAAATTCAGATATTCTGAGATTAGTCTCCAAAGCATCAACTTAGCCCCAAGAAAAGCTTAATTTTAAGAGTCCTTTCGTAAGGAGATTTGTATGGTTAGCTCTCATTATGTAATGATGATGTGCTAATTTAATGTAACCTACTAAAGCCTATGCAGTTCTTGTGTCTAAGGTATAGGCCAGACAGGAAAACATTGCTTGAAATATGAGCACTAGTGTGGTCCCAAGAGTCACATGAGAATCTTAAAAAGAAAAGCTTTGCTCGCCTTAGAATTTTCAAAGGAGAAACCATTTATAACATAAATAGACATAAGGCCATAAACTGGTGATTTTCTATCCACTCTCTGACAGAAAGGGAACTGGTGTGCTTTGGCAGGCTTAATTCTTGGAAGTGTAAACCCAGCTCTCTGCAGAGCTGCGCGGCCTCTGTGTACAGCAGCAGCAGGAGCTGTGGAATGTGAAGCCTGACCAAGTCCCAAGACAGCACATTCATGGATTGTCTTCTTCCTAGAGAGGAAGTCACTCCTGCAGGTGGTGGAACACATGGGGTGTTTCTGTCAGTGGAGAGGTGGGTTTCCTCCCTGTAAGGATCTTATGCTTGTTTTGCTGCCTGTTGTGCCAAGTTTTCATGACTTTGGTCGCCATGTAATCACCTGGCTGGTAGTTTTAGAATCAGATTTTAATAGCCCAGCTTCATTGCTTCTTTTTACATCAGACTTCAGGTATGTGTCAAGTGTTCTATCAGACCAGATTAGGGGTTTAGTGCTGTTTCTGACAGTGATGAATGCTGGATATTTTGCAGACACAAAAAACTACCCAGGATGAGTTCATAATCCTAAAGCATGGAGTTTCAGAGCTCTGAGAACACTTAATCCAAACTGCTAGTGTGGATGATGTTTTTCTTATGCTGTTAGGACACGTCTCTAAGGCTTTTAAAAAAATGATGTCTATCCTTTTGCCTTCATCATATTCCCAGACTTTTTTGCTTTTTGTTACTTAGGAAGTGTGCTGAACAAAACTAAATGCAAGATATCCAAGTAACACTATATTCTGTACTAGAGGTAAAGCAAAAGTTAGGGGTCTGCATTTATTTTAAAATAATTGCTCCAGGAGGTAACAACCATCTAGAAACCCATTTATGGCTGAATTGTCTTTAGCAGATCTTTGCAGTAAGTTTCTTCATACCTCACTTTTAAATTTCAGCTGTTATTATGCTGCTTGGTTATTTTTGTACTAAGCCCTCTAGATGCTCTCCTGTACTCTCCTTGTGTCCTAATAAATGCATAAATCAGCTCTGTTTTAACAACTAAAAGTCTCATTGTTTTTGAAATGTGTGAAGGTGGGATAGAAAGGGAGTATCCTCTCCTAACAGACAATCAGGTCTCTGACTCCTGTCATGTCATTTTAGTTGTATCCTTTTGGTAGCCTTGGAGACCTTTGCACTCTGAATACTTGCCCAGAAAATAGTGCACTGCTGGGGCACTGTGTCCTGGCTAACCTCCTGAGGACCTCACACATGAATAAAGTCATAGGTGATTTGTGCCGTGATTCTTTGCTAGTATCTCTTTTTTGTAAGGGAAAGTTCACTTGATAAGGATTAGCTGGAAGCAAGGTTCTGTTTGAGCCTTGCATTCAGGGTAAGATCCTGCCAGTCTCCTGAACTCTGGTGATTTGCTTGAAGGGAGAGGGGAATATATCTGATTCCTTGATGGGACAGCTTAGAAGAATGCAATGAAAAAATTCTCAATGAAAAGCACAATGGTATTTTCTTCCCTCCTCAGGTTCTCTTTAGGAAACAACTGAATAATTCCTCTTTTATTTGAGAGTTTAAAAAGCCCCTAATGAATGTCTGCGTGCTGTTTCTGCTTCTCTAATCCCCACTTGGCTGCAGCTTCTGAAGATATGCATTGAACCAATATATGTGCTGTTCCTGAAAAAGCTGCTCCAATATTATGTCCCTGAAATCTAAATAGCAGCATCATAAATCTGTCAGCACACAGAAAATAGCAATTTAAGTGTATTCTTTGCATTCTGAGATAGCTTTCCACAAAAATTTCCTTTGCTGCTTCCTTATTCTCAAAAATCTTTACCAAATTACTCAAGATATTTAAATCTATTGTATTTGGGGACTGTTTTGTTTAGTTGATTTTTGTTCACACTTCTCAGGAGTCTAGAACAGCTCTGTGACCACAACATGGCAGCAGGACTGTTCTTTCCTTATCTCTTGATCGTAATTTTTTTTATAACCCCCAAGTTAATGCTCATTATTAATCTCTGGCTACTATATTTATCACTTTCAGCCATTTAGGCCTGACTCTTTATAACAGATTACATGTTTTTGGTAGCTTTCCTGCTTCATCCTAAAGGTTCTTCAAATCCCTGGAGGGACTGTTAAATCTCATTCTCCCTCTACCAGACTTCCCTTCAGTTTGAATAGTCTCTGTGGCCTTTCCAGTTCTCTGAAACATTCCTGTCTCAGACAATGAGTGAAAAAGGAGAGAGAAGAGTGTGAAACACATGCCACAATAGTCTGACATAGGAATGTGTGTTTGCAGAGGCCAGTCAGCCTTCCAGCATGGAGACTTTGGGAATGTTCTGTGCACCAAGAGACACCATGGCCCATCAGAATCATGTTTGTCCCCTGTGTGTGCAGCACTGCTGTCTTTGTTGGCATTTGACCCCCTGCAGAGTAGCACAAGATCCTTTTGACATGGAAGTTTGGTGTTAGGGAGGACCTGCAAAGAGCCTTATTGGGGCTGTAACGCTGGTCCCCAGCTGTTGTTGGCAACTGTGTCATGGCTCCTTTCATAAATGGAAGTAGCCTCTATTCTGATCCTCGTCTTTCAGCCTCTTCTGATCCTCAGCTATTCCTGAAGCTCCCTGCTGTGAACATTAAAAATCATCTTGTCATACCCACCCTAAGTTTATTCCCAGTCAGACTGTAATGCTCATTTATTAATCCATTTGGCCTTTTATGAACCAACTCTTTCCAAACCAGTGTTTATCCCACTAATGTGTTTCTCTAGAGTAGTCATGTTTTCATGGCCTCTAGCTCAAGCTTTTCTAGTGTTCTAAAATGTCCTGGGCTACTCTAATTGCTCTTCTCTTTACTATTTGAATTTATTATGGTTCCCCTGGGAAAGGCCAGACAATTTGTATTGAAGTTCTTTTTATTTGTTACTCCATTTTTTAAAAAAATGCATCAGTTAAAGAAATAAAAAAATCATTGAAACCATAGTTCTTGTGTCTCTTTCAGTACTGTTATCTGTGAGGATTTTTTCTCTCTCCTTTTACAGAATCATGTACCTGTTTTTGTGCTGCTGTCATAGAGAAGGAATGTTGCAGCTCCATCGACCCTGTCTGGAGCTGAGGAACTTCACAGCTGGGGATCCATTCAGGCCGTGTTATCTCTCCTTGCCCATCCTCTGGTCTCCATGCAGGTAGACATGTTTCTTGATGGCAAAGTCTGTGAAAAAAAAAATTCCACTTTCTTCATGCTTTACAGCCAGTGGTAAGCTTGGCTTACTTAGCCTAACTGGGTTTTTCAATATTGTATGTTGATCCAAATATCTGGGTTGAAGTCTTCGTAGGAAACTGAACATGCAGATTTTGGAAGGTGTTCAAATTTGGGCCTTCCCGAAAGCTGCCACCTCTACAATGCTTTTTTTTTGCAACATGTCAGTGATTTTCAGAAGGTTGTTTATTGTGGGGCTTGAATCAAGATAAGGAACTTTCTGGTAGCATGTCTGAGACAGAGTGTCCTGCTTGTGGCTGACATCCCATTTGTGGTCTGTGCTTTCTGTCACTTTGCACTGCTGACCTAGGCTGGCTGCTCTTTTTATTTCACTCAGCATGTGCCTTAGTGGCTGGTGACAACAGTGGGAATGCTGAGTACAGGTGAAGGCTTCTGAAGGAGTATTATTGCTTTTGCAGAATTGATTCATGGGGATATTCACCTTGAAGTACGCATGCAGTGCACCCTTCTGGAGGTGTCACTTTTGACAGACCAGCAGAAGTGTTTCTGTATGAAGAACGTAGCAGGATTTATACCGCCATCTATGTCTCTTGGCAGGGACTGCTTATTTTAGCAGACCATTGACCCTGACTGCCCTGAAAAGGCACAGTTAGAGGTCACTCAGTTAAGAGAAATAGCCCAGACCTTCACTACTGCCCTGTCATATAGGGAGCTCAGAGTCACTATGCTTTGGAGAACTAAATATTCTGTTCTACCCTGGTGCATAAGATATAAAGGGGTATAGATGTTTTGTGATTTTTTCTTTCTTCTATAAGCATCTTTCTTCTCATATGAGTGATAGTGTAAATGGTGACTTGAATTAATGTATTTTTAACTTCTTTTAGGAACAGTTGCAGGTGGTTTTAGGATGCTCACTTGCATGTGACTTTCTAGCTTTCTCAACCACAGTTTGATCCATTGCTCACATACTGTTAACCTTTATCAATCTGTTACATTGTTGAGGCTTTAGATGCTGGTGCAGAGCCAAAGGAACTGTTCAAACATAAAGTACATTTGAGCCCCATAGCCAAAGAATGAACTTCAGCAGTTATTGTGCTGAACAATCTCTGCGTTTGATATTCAACATATGTATGCTGTAAGTGGATGAGTGTTGTTCAGGTAAATCACTATGGCCCAGGATAGGCCTCTGCCAATCACACTTTGGAAGCCAGAGGGCAATAAAACTGCTCAGTTTTGAATTATGTGAGGATTATGTCTGGATTTTCATTTCCAGAGACAAACTGTTGAAAATGTTCTTTGAAGTGCTCATTATCATAAAGCAAACCATTTTTTTCCCTTCATCACACTGGAAAAAAAAAAAAAAAGTTAGACAGCTTTTCCATTTCAGATACAGAGATTCAATTATCAGAAATTTATAAATGCATCAGAAAATGTAAAATGTAAATCAGAAGGGATTTCCTTACTTGGATTTGTTTTAATCCAATAGAAGAAAAGCAGGACAATCTGGGGACTTCTTATCCAGGGCCACTTGGGACTATAACTAAAAAAATGACAGCATCTTACTTAGTTGCCCTGCTTTATTTAAGTCCATGCAGTTTGAATCTGGAAGTGTGTTCTGGTGTCACCCTAGGACAAAGTGCTATAAAGCCAGCAGAGCAGGAATGTGCTCCTTCTGTTTTACCTGCAGAATTGCTTAGTCAGTTACAATTGCTTAGAGTTGCAATCAATCAGAACTGTGTATATAAAGCCATCACAAGTAATGAGGCATTAGCAAAACACAACTCTCCACTTGATTTGCTCTGCTTATATACCACATTATGTTCTGCTTGCATGAGTAGCATTTCATGCAGATAATATCTTTTCACTTTTAAACAGGTCACAAAGAATATAAAAAATGTTGAAGACAACAAACACAGAGCTTTTCAATATAGTTTAATAAATCCTTAAGAGTAAATCTTGGCATTAAAATATAATTTGCCAGTGTTATTTATGCACCCTGGAGGAAGAAAGACAAGTCACTCATGCCAATGGAAGAGTATAAATCATAGAAACTCTGCCAAACTTAAACTGCTGTGGTTAGTAAGGAAGCAGTATTCTGCAATGGTAATAAGTCACTTATCAAACACATAATGCAATAAGGACAGTAAATTGGTGAGTTCAGTCAGACTGTCCTGATTGTCCCCATTCACATGACAGCTGCCAACTCATTTTATAGACACTGTTACACATACTGCTCAAGGCTAAAGGTCTTTTGAATTTCTGTTGTGTGTTGGTGCTGACTTAAAAGAGTAAGATAAAAAGTAAGCAGATAATCACAGTAACTTCCCCTTCTGCAAACCCCAAAGAAGCCATTAATCCATTCTGTCAATCTGCTGTGTCAGGACTGATTTAGTATTCTGAACTTTTGCCTCTGCTTTAGAGTGAGCTTTGCCCTGTGCTTAAGTATTGTCAAAGAGAAGGCTTAATTCTGCCAGCTGATTCTGATAATACTCTTGCCAGTATTACTTGTGGTGGAAGTGTGAGATTCTTAGTAAATCCAGTATTTATTAGTTCTGTGTCTCCACCTAGTTGTCCAGTCAATCTGCAAACTGCTTTTATATAAGGCAATATATTGGAACTCTTCCTAAACAGAGACATGCTTTATTGTCACACATTTTTATGGGTTAGGAAAATCAGGAGTAATCCACAATCCCCCTGAAAAACCTCAGAAAATCTACAGTTTATGTGTCCTTTGTTACTAAATGACAAAAAAATCGGTGTCTTTGAGTAATTTAGGGGCTAACAATTTGTGGTCTCACATTGCTGTCCCAACTAAATTAATTTAATAAAAGTTGCTTACCTGTGAAGACCCGACTGTATGTTGTGATCGCCAGAGCCCTTTCAGTGTTTTGTAGCATATTGATTATTACTGGAGAAAAGTTATATTTGAGCTCTTTAAAATGGGGTTGGGAACCATTGTCCTTGGTGGATTTGAAAAATATATTTGACCATTTTCTTCAACAAGCTTGGAAAGTTGAAGGACAAGAAGAAACAGGTAAAGTATAAATCAAATATGTGTGCTGTATGGGAAGACTATTTTAAATACTTGAGATAACATGTGGTTACCCTCCTCTCCCTCAGTTATCAATTTAGCAAATGCTAATAAAATTTAAATCTGGTGGGAAAATATATTTGCTGCACTATTAGTAGTCAAGTGGAAGTTTCAACGGGTATGTACTTATGCTGAACTTGAGTCAAATACCTTGGAATCAAGTTCTCATGGTAGTCACATATGGCAGGCAGGGAAAGCTTTGTAAGCTTTTTGGTAGTAGTCACGATTATAAACTGCCTTAAAATAAACTGCTTGTTATTGTTTCCATTGCCACATCTGTAAACAGTGTGTGCATGGATCAGGATGACAGATGGATCTGCATTTTTAGCTGTAAATGAATGCTCACTATAAAGACAGCTGTGATGGTGGGAGAGGTGCTTTCTGTGAGCTGTTGCTGATGTCTGTTTTGCCTTTGGAAACTGGTCTGATGGATGTGCAAACAGAACTCACTCTTTTGGTACAAAATCAGCAAGATTAGACCAGATCAGCTTTTTTATCATCATAAATTAACCCAGTGATAAGTGATGAAGTCTTAGTGGAAGTACTCTACATGATCATCTGCGCCACTAAATCTGGAAATCTAATTGTCTCAGGCAAAGAGGTGGTGACAGGCAGCTGAGAGCTCAATCTTATACCAGAAAAAAGCTGTCTTTGCAGAAGGCCACCTTGCCATTGCCAACTGCAGGAGTTCTGGAATGATTCACACACCAGCAGGGAAGGTTCTTATTTCATGTTCTGTGCATGATTTTACAAACAGGAACAGCAGACTCTAAAACTTATTGAATTGTGAAGCTCGTTCTGAACCCCTAATGTCACCATCAGGAATAACTAAGTTTTTCTAGATGTCTTTTAAAAATGAAACTGCAGTGGAATTAGTTCCAACCCTGTTTCTGTCACCACTTTTTCTCTCTCCAGTCTTTCTGCCTCGTTTCCTTATTTACCTCACAATGATGCTGCCAGCATTAATTACATAAGAGATATTATGAGTTTTGTAAAGGAGAGATGTGGAAAAGACACAAAGCTTTTAAGTACAATTTTCTGTTGGTAAAAGTCAGTGGGCTGTAGTCTGGGTTATCTGTATTTAACCAGGGATTTCTCCTTCATCCATGAGAACTGGAGTGTCCCAGTCTCTGAGAAAGTCAAAACATATGGAGGGAACAGCAAATGCAATTAAAGTATTTCCTAAGCGCCCATGGTAACTGTCCCCTTAGCTGATAATTCTGAACCTGTTAAATGTTGCTGGAAATAGATTTTGGTCTCTGGTGATCCTCCTGTTGTGCAAAAATAGGCTTTGTTAATCCACCTCCACACATGATTAGTGTTTCTTAAATTGACCACTGATCAGTGAAAACTAAAAATTACTACTACTAGCATTACATATTCTGTGGAAGGATTTTGGTTTTGGATGGACGAATACTTCACTAAAAATCACTCATGTACCTAATTATATAAATAACAGTACAGCATTGTAGTGACTGAGAATGGCAGCTAATTAATGCAAATTGACCTCCCACTTAAACATTATCAGCTTTTACTTTCCTGAAAAGCTTCTTATCCACACCAGCATGTGCTTTTTCTGTTCCAAACCGTTGCAGCCAAACCTTTCCTTACAAGCACTGCCATGGCACACAGACATGCTGGCTTTTTCCTGTCCCAAATTCCCCCTAACCCTGTGCAGTCAGTAGCTGCCAAGTGCTCCTCATCAGTTCACAAAGATGATCTTTGAAGTCTTCTGAAACATAGTTCCTGTCAGTTAAGAACAATAATTTCATGCCCTTTTCCTCTAATATTTGATGTAAAACACTCTCAGGGTAAGATGCTGCAGGGGTTAAAAACAAATACCTCATGATGGCTTACATAGTGTTCTGCAAATGGTGAATGTCTAGAGTTTCATCTCAGGCTTCATAAAGGATATGAAGAATTGTTTTTTCTCTCTGGATCTTGTTCTACTACTTGTGTAGTGACAAAATGTTTTAAATCATTCAGCTCTTATTCCATGGGTATTTCTGTTGACCCCAGTGCAGGTGGCAGGCATGACTTTGGCTCAAAAAATGCTACTTTTGGGTCCCACTGATTTTTTTTTTTTTTTAATTTTTCTTTCCCTGTTTTGAACTGTAGAGAATTAGTTGTCTGGCAGAAGATATCAGACACATTAAGTAATCAGTGAAGTTATGTGGGGAATGGCAGATGTGCTAATAGCTCTGTTGGCTTCTGAGGCTACAAGGGGGCCACAAATTGCTTTTATTCTCAGTGCTGAGACATCCTCCATGAGACTGCAACTATCAGCACATACAGCTTTATTTTAAGCCAAGGTGCTTCCCTTGATCACTGGTGTAGTCAGATTCTGTTAAACTTCAGCAGAAAAGAGTCACAGCTGCCATAGTGGTTTTAAGTAAGTTTCAAGAATAAAGGGCAAGCCAGCAGAGTTCTCTCTTACCTCTGGTCTTCCTCAGAACAACCATGTCAAAAGTCTTGCTAGAGATACTGGGATGGAAAGGTTGATGACTGCTTGAATTGATTCCAGTGTCTCAACCCTCAAGTGATGTGAAGTTTGGGAGCATGGTGTACCTAGAAATGTGTGTAGGGTAGGGGTAAGAGGGGAAAAATGGCAGGCACAATGATCTTGGGTTGGTTTAAATTTTCAGGAAGAAGGACAGAAAAAAGAAAATTTCCTTATTTCACATTTCACATTTCACTGAGCTTTGGATTAAATATAACACTTTGCAAGAACAGGGAGAGATGTGAGAATCAAAAAGGTGATATCTTAGTTTTTTAATCCCCTTTTGCTTGCACCCTGCAAGCAAGAATTTCCAATGATGCTGCCCTTCCAGCTCTTTTACATGATCAATCATACTGATTCTCATTTACTTTTATGTGGCTTAAGGGAATTTAAGATTCTTGCACAGCTTCAATTAATAGTAACTGAGTTTGTGCTTGTGTAATCAAAATTTGTCTCTAAGATGACATTTATTTCTGTGAGGAAGGAGGATAAAGCTAAACTGGAGATTTTATGGGATACTGCGAACTGGCATTTCATGGAGTGCCCATGTTCCTGTGGCTGTTCTTTTCAGCCATAAATTTTTAATGATAGGGTAATTTAAGACTTAATAAAATCAGGAGAATCATGAAATTGGAGGAAAACTAACGTGGTGGTTTATTCCAGTAAGAAATACCAGCCTATTAAATGAATCCCTGTTTGGATTCATTTAACTTTAGCACCACTGCATACAGCAGCTTGCTGAGAACAAACACCTCCCCCCAGCTGCTGTGTAAAGCAAAGACATGTCTTGTCCAGGAGCCAAATTAATTCGGTTCCTGGAGCTGTGTGTCATGACATAACGAGGTCTTACCAAGCTGGACTTTTCTGAGGCTTCTCTCTCATAAATCTGCTTTATGAGAGAGAAGTTGTGCTTTGTAGTTGCTCTTAGACACTTCACGTTAGGTAAAGAGGCCATGAATAACACAGCCAAGAAAACCCAATTAGCCCATAGGCAAGTCAGCAAGATCAGTATTTGTTAGGAGAGTGTGTATGCTAAGTAAACACTGCTAATCTTCTAAATCTAATCTTTGCATGCTTTGTACAATAGAGAGATTTTTGTGCCTCATAGTGTTGCTGCTGCTTATTGCTAAGGAGCCTGCACTGTGCAATTCTGACTGAGAGAAGAACAACTTGCCCTTTTATTTCATTAAGGAAAGGCAAGATACAGGTGAAATGTACCTAGGCAAAGTGTCTGGTGGTTTGGGAAGCCTATGGTAGGGAAGAAATGTAACAGCTTAGCTGAAGTGACCCACTCTCATTTGCATCTCCCACCCTTTATCTGAATTAGTGCAATCAATATATATTAGGGACAAAATGTGTAAGCAGTGCAGGCAGTGCTCTTACTGACACCACTCATTACATGAGGAATGTTTTGTGTTGCCAGGTGCCAAAGACTGAAAAGACATCAAGAACATGTGATGTGTGGAATGTCTTTCTGAAACAGAGTGAAGGAAAAAAAATCTATCTCCTTAGACTTTTGTGTAATAAGGTCTATATTAGTTAACAATGGTATGTACTATTAGTACAAAAAAGAAATTTAAAAAAATTCCTTTTATCAGTAGTGCAAAACAAAAAACATACCCTCTTTATACTTGCAGAGAAATTACCTCTTCATATCATGCTAATACATTATTTATATTTTACCTTGGAGACTTAATTATTTCAAGGCAAGCAAAAAAACCCACTAACTTTAAAGGGCAAGAATTTAATCACTAAGCCTAGCTAAGAGTCTCTTGACAATTTTACTGAGTCAGAAAAATATCTAAGGTTGAAAAAGTAATTATTTGCTTAATAGTTCTTTTTGGTATAATAAAAAATAAAACAAATGCTTGAAGTACTACTGGGCTAATCTAAGTAGTTTACGTAGACTCCAGAATTTTGTGTATTTCATAAGAAAGGCTTATCTACCAGAAAGGCTTATCTGACCCCTTGCTTCAAAGGGTCTTTATTGTAAATGGGTAGGAGATGTTGTCAGATGAGAGCCCTTTTTTAAGTTTTATTATTTGGACATTGTCACACAATGTTTCTTAAAAGCTGTATACCAAAACCTGCATATTGCCAAAACCCCTTGTTTTCCTCAATGGGAAGAGTGATGTCCCAGATTCATTTCCAAGCAGGAGATGATGGTAACTTCTTAGGGCTCCTCCACTTGCTCAGCTGGAGGACATAGAATTGTTGGGATATTAATAGGCCCTGCAGAGATTCCTTCATTTCAGCCTTAGCAGTTCCTACAGGAGCTCTATTCCTCCCATGGCTGGGGTTTGTTCAGTAGCTTGGTTAATCACATAGCTCTGACATGGAGCTGCACCCAAGCTCTCTCCAAGTCATCTGTGACTCAGGGTGCAGCTGGGCCACTCCCATCATTGAATTGTAAAAGGTAGATGTAAAGATAGATGTTGCAGAGTTACAAAGAGGAAATAAGTCCCTTCACAAAAAAGAGTTTAAATACAGTCAAGTGCTTATTTCTTTCCATACTAACACGGGTGTTTTAAAGATAAATTTCAACTGCCAGATCAATTTTATTCACACATTCTGATACAAGATACACAAGTCATGCACTTCATTGTGAAATCTGTGCTGTGATGCTATGGGACTCACTGCAATCAACATGAGGTGTGATATCTCACAAATTGCTGTGCCAGCATAACTCATGCTTCAGCTGAGCTGAACAAAAGATCTACTTTTAATGTGTGATGCTACAAAGATACCAGGACTCGAAGTGTTGAATTATGGCAACCATTTGTATATTGTTGCATTTATAACAAACTGGGACTCTGATTCAAAGTTCACATCTGTCTTCATAATGGGAACCCTTTACAGAAATGCCATACTTTATAGAAATGCCATGCAGACCAGCAATCTCTGAAAGTTTATTCCATAGATAATTCTAGTTGATTTTCCATTTATTTCTACTGTTAGAACTACCAGTGCTGTAGATATGTAGAATACTTCTTAGTATTTCTATTCAATTCACATTCTGTTACAGCTGTATTATTGTAACAGAATGTGAATTGAAAAGAAATACTAAGAAGTGTTTTCAATTTCCGTTTTGTTGTGTTACAGTGTGACTTGCTACATTTTTCACTGCAATAATTGGACATACTGCTGATACACATACACATAAATAAGGACAGTCAATTTGCTTTGAGCTCTGGCATGGCCCAACTACTTAACTACCATTGTATATCACTTTTCATTTTAACATCTAAACTTAAGACAGCAATAAAATAAGGATGAACGTGCATTTTCATGACTTCCATGATTTAGAGAAGGTTTCTGAGCTCAGGCTGTAACAGCCAGCAAAGTTTTGCATTTTTAAGTGTAGATGGTTGTTTAGAATATTTGTTATATTTTTAAAACTCATACTGTTTAATCAAGCCTGAAGCCACCCAGAATGGAAGACAGAAGAGAAAGAAGAAAGGTAGAGCTTTTTCTAGAAAGGAAGTAAGATATTAGCAATTTTTTAAAATTTGGCACTGTTTTCACTGGAGTTCTACTAGACTTTTGCTGGAGTCTGCCAGTATCACACAAGAAACAGTTGCTCAGTATTATATCATCTGCCCCTTTATGTTCAGTCCACAGAGCATATGGAGTTTGTCTACTGAAAAGAAGTCAAGGCTTGTGGTGGAGGGATTTATGCTCCCAGTTTGGAAAGGCCTGGAAAAAATCCAGGGAGTTGTGCAGATGAACACCCTCCCATTTCCCTAGCAATGAGTGGACTATGGGCACTCTTCCATCACTTTTTGATAAAACAGGCATAAATCAAGTTTCACATGAGGGAGAATATCCTTATGGACACTCTGGCTTCTGTGCAGTAGTTCTGCAGCTTCCCTCGTGATGGCAGAGCATTAAGTGGAGAGATGCACTTGTTCAGTGATAGTAATAAGAGACACATTGGAACCTGTGTGACCTTCATGAGGGTCTCCCACTTAGAGCTACTTTCCTACTCTCTGACATGTGCTAGGGGTCTCTAAAGATCTCTTTCTTTTCTCAAGGGTGGTTTTGGCCTGAAAGGGATGCAGCCTGGGGAGCCTCATGACCTTCACCTTCTTTTCTAGATCAGGCCAGAGAACATTTTGCTTCTCTTTCCTGTTACTTTCCCATGTATTCTGTAAATTATTAAGAGAATCAGATGTATCACTCCTGCCAATTTTCACAGAAAGGAAATGACAACTAGAGAATAAATTGTTTCAAATGTATAAATTGACTTTCTCTACAGCCTTTTATTCTTGCAAAGGGAGGCAACCACTTATCTTGCCTAGCCTTAAATCCTGACCCACAAGGCAAAAAACCAAAAAACAAAAAACCAAAAAAAAAAAAAAAAACCCACCAAAAAAACCCCCAAAACAGCTACCAACCCAAAAAACTTAACAAAACAGTTTTCATTCATTGTATGCTCTCACTAAACATACTGGAAGCCTCATTGGTGTGGCTTGACTGCGGGAGGACAGCTGCCAATGCTCTAGCCTGATGTGTGTGTAACTAAGGCTCTTGACAGTGGCTGAAAGGTGTTTTTCAACACCTTTCCCAACTTTTGTGGTCTTGTTTGATGTGAACCTGAGGACCCATTACACCTATAGGAGTGAGGAGGCAACTACTTTTCTCCTGTACCTTTGACTGGGAGGGCATATATGTGTGACCCACTGCCAGTGCACTGAGCAAAGCCCATCTGCAGCCAGTCAGTGACTGATTCCAGTGTGCAAAACTGCACAAGGGTAGATAGTGCTCATCTTTAAGGCAAGGGCATTGTTGGCCCATGAAAGTGTAAAGAGTTATTGCAAATCCCTTGTAATTCATTTCCCACAAAAGACAGTAATGGCTCAAAGGAGCCCTCACAGGCTATAAGGTAAATAAACTGAGTGTTAATAGCTCCCAGGCAGGTCTGCCTAGCACCACTCAGAGTGCATTTTTCAGGAAAGGTTCCATGTGGCTGTCACCATTTAATAGTTCCTGATGGCAGGAAGATTATTTGCTCTGAAAGACCTTGGACTATGAATGTGGAAGAGTTTTTATGTGTGGGTTTTACTTTTTGCTTTAAAGGATATATTCTTTCCTTCAATTTAAAGGTATTTTAAAGACCAAGAAAATAGAATATTATAGGGAAATCAAATGCTTAAACGAGGACAAATGAAAATATTTTCAGAGACCCAGCATATTTCAGGTTAAGATGTGATTGCATAAAAACAGAGAAAAGATTTTAATGATCTGCTGATCAAACATTCAGAGTCCAAGGTTATGTGCTTTTCAGTGTGTACAGGGGCCAAATTTGACCTACTCCTGTAAAATCTCCTTCCTCCTTATATCGCTGACACAAGGGCACAGAGTCACAGCAGTCCCTGGTTGCTTCCTGTTGAGGAAGGAAATCCCTAGAAAGGTGCTGTGATCTCTTCCTCAGCCTGTGTACCTGGATGACCCATTCAGGTGAGCACCTGTCACGAGGAATGCACCTCACAGCCCCGTACAGTTAACTGTGAAATCATCACAGAATTATTCTCAGGTTTCTAATATACTTATCAATGCTGATGTAAGAGGTTGTTTATTTTCTCTTTTTGAAGAATTTACATCTATGCTTCAAACTGCCTTAATCTAAAAATCCTCGTAGTTTGATCAAGTGTTTTGCTGGTGCCATCAAGTGGCAAAATATTGGATTGCAAAAGTCCCACAGCACCCAAATTGACTCAAATACCTCTTAAGCACCAACAATGAGGAAAATAATCCCTGACAAGCCTCCTCCAAAAATACATATGTATAAATATGTATGAGAAAAATGGACTGAAATACATATGGTGTCATGATTACTTCAGGTACTTCAGTTTGATCTGGATTTTAAAAAGTGGAAAGGCTAATAGTTTTGAGTATTACTAGTTGATAAATATAGGCAACCTATAAAGCAAACTCAGAGATCCTTGTTGAAGAGCTACTTGAGCTGAAGTGGAACAATCCTGTATTTTGAATTTCTGTGTTTGTTGTCCTCTGCTACTAGCTAATCTCTTTTTACAGAACATGGCCCTTTGATTTCATATCATAGTTGCACTTCATATCATCAGAGTAGAATGAATATTCAGTTTGCTGCTGTATTCTCTAACTTTGCAATCTAGTTAACTAAAAATTTAAACTTAAAATTCATCATTCATACACACATCACTTTTTTTTTTGCCAGCTGAGTGACATCATAGTATTGTTCAGTAGGAAGGCTTTTGTGCAAAGGAAACACATAAATTTATAAAGCTTATGCTCTATTTCTATTTCCTTGTAAAAATCCAAATAAATTGGTATGTTTTTGTCTTGATTTCTCAGGGGACTGCTAATATCAAAACTCATTTCCACACTGCCAGTGTGGAAATTGTCCTGTGTTTCAAAATCTACATCATGCAGGGCTGGATTTTGATAAGTGCTGAGCACCCATGCCTGACTTTAAAGTTCCTGAGAATGCTGAGAATTTCCCCCTGTGAAAACCTGGCTCTTACAGTTCCTTACCACACACACCTAACATTCAACAGGACTTATGGGAATACCTCAAATAGGTACAGGCTCCAACTTTTTACCCTAAAATGAGTTATTTCTACACTCTGGGGATCACTTTCAGCTCCTCCTGATGCCAAAGGGCTCACAGAATCCAGCCAGACTTCATGGTGCTTTTCACTGACAAGAATCTGAAAACAGCTCCACACCAAAAAACAAAACCAACAACAGAGAGCAAATGAGAGAGTGTGAAAATGATGGAAATGCAGGTGGAAAGATCAGCCGTAATCAGTAAGATTTTCCTGGCATTAGAAAAAGCCTTACATTTTAATTAATTCTCACTGTGGATACTTCTTGAAGTTCTATTTACAAATTTTATATATATATATATATATATATATATATATATACATTCTACTATAAGCATAAGTATATTTAAGCTTCTTATATTTTCTCCACTGAAATTTGTGCCAGTACTATCAGAGGCACAAACACGAAAATATTTCATTTGAATCTTGCCCACTTCAGCTTTTTACTCTGTAATTATTTGCACTAGACTAAGCCTTTAATTAATATCTAGCCTGTATCTCTGGTATGTTTGGAGATCAGTGAAACTGATGCTATTGGGGTTACTGTAGCTCTGTTGCTTGCCTGTTTTCTGTTTTTTACATAAATTTAATGTGGAGGAAAGGCTACAGTCCTTGGCCCCTGAGTAGCACCTTCAGTACCTCGGTATACTTTGAGCAACTCTCCTGCAGTAACATTTTACTGTGAGAGCTGTCCAGAAAATAGCAAATGAATGTCATTAACATAAGGTTATGAAGTAGCTTGCTAACCTCTTCTCCCTTTTTGACTGCTACACTGGTTTTCTGAGATGGGACATGTAGTTGCTATGACTCATCTGCTTTCTCATGAGGTACTATGCCTAAGTTAGCCAAAATCTCCTGGCTTGCAGTGTGAGTGTAGGAATGTGGAGACATAGACTACATGCCACCTGGGCAATTTCCACCTTGTGGAATAGGGAGGGTTTGTTTCTGGACCTCTTTTTTTTCTCCAGAGTGGGATTCACTTTGATTGATTAGGGCTCTACGCTAGTGTGCCTGGACAACAAATAATCCAAGGGATTGCATATTCAGAAAAGACAAACACAAGAGCAATGAAAATTCTTGTTTCAAGCTCATTAGGCATTCTTGCAGCTGTCCTATCACTGTGGCATCACAGCACCTTGCCATGGTTCTGGGATGGAAGTCCCATCAGCATCATTTAACAAATGCAAGTGCTGGACTCTCCCTGGGATGGGGTAACCCTGGTTATAGGAACAGATTGGGTGATGAGAGGTTGGAGAGCAGCCTTGGGGAAAGAGATCTGGTGTTTGGGTTGATGGCAAGTTGAAGATAAGTCAACAGTGTGCCCTGGCAGCTGAAAGGGCCAGCTGTACTGTGGGGTGCATCCAGCAGAGCACAGTGAGCCAGGTGAGGGAAGTGACTGGGAAGTGACTGCTCTGTTCTGCTCTGCACTGGCGCAGCCTCACCTCGAGCACTCTGAGCTGGTTTGGGTTCCCTAGTGGAAGAAGCACATTGAACTGTTAGAGTGAGTCCAGAGGAGGGGACCAAGATGGTGAAAGGTCTCAAGGGCAAGATGTACAAGGAACAGCTGAGGTCACTTGGTTTGCTCAGCTGGGAGAAGAGAAGGGGTGACCTCCACAAAGTCTGCACCTTCCTCAAGGGAGGCAGAGGTGCTGATCTCCTCTCTCTGGTGACCAGAAATGATAGGATGTGTGAGAATAGCATGAAGGTCCATCGGGGAAAGTTCAGGATGGATATTTGGAGAAGGTTCTCCACTCTGTGGGTGTCCAGTCACTGGAACAGACACCCCAGGGGAGTAATCTGGCACCAATCTGTCATAGTCCAAGGAGGATCTGGACAGTGCTCTTGGTCATGGTTTAGTGTTACATAGTTGTGTGAGGAGCAGGAAGTTGGACTTGGTGATCCATATGGGTCCCTTCCAAACTGAGATATTCTGTGATCATTTCACGTAAAGGTTAGCTCATGATGTCAAAGAGGAGAACAAGGACAGGAAAGCAAGTTTCCAGTTTTTGAGTCATGTTTTAACTCTTTGACATTCTAGTCTGCATCTTCCATTCCTGTTGGAAAGGCTGCAGGACTGAAGGCTATCCTTGGACTTTTCTGAGTCAGCCTTAAGCAGTGTGCTCTGCTTTCAAAGCTTTCCTGTAAGTCAGTAATGGTGATCTGAATCCTACATGAGTGTCTGAACAACACAGATTTGACATCATCATTTGCCCAGCATTCCCCAACAGCTCCTCAGCTGTTGTTCCTAGACATATCTCTTCTTTTACAACAGCTTTCTGAAAAAGCTGAGCACTGACTTTTCATGCTTATGCCTATGGTATTCGGGGATGCTGTAAATTAGGCCAAAAGTGAAATCTTTAAGTTCAGAAAGGGTGTTTGGGACAACATCCAACAGTTTGTTATAGTAAACAGTAGATAGTTATCAAATGATGGGCAAAAAATAAATACAGAAATTGGGAACTTCAAGTGTTTCAGCGAAATATTGTGTAGAGATTTGTGAGTACCAATATATTTCCACATTAATATTTAGGGCATTGGAAAAAAAATAAAAGCTTAAAGTGCCCATGCAGATATTTGTACATCTCAGTCTAAATTGCTGTTCAAGCATTTTGCTGTCTGGTGCTTCTCTTGGTGAAAGCACTTCACTAAAACATTTTGACTGTGAGAAGTATATGTCTAGCCTAAACTGGCTGAGGGTCTTTTCCACTACCATAAGGTGTACATCCATTAACAAATGTACATGGAGATCCTTTTCCCTTGCTCAGTTGTCTTCTGGCAGTACATGTAGAGCAAGTCCTCTGTTCTTCCTTTCTGCTCCTCAGGGAAGCTTGCAGCAATGGAGGAATTTCCTGAACTCTTTATATCTGAAAGAAAAAAAACCGACCAAACAAAACCAAAATGTCTTTTGATGGCAGCAACAGTGATGGTTACCTGAAGTCTTTTAAACAATGACTGACTTACTCAGCTTATTCTGGCTAATGCCATTAGGATGAACTGTCACTAGAAGAAGTTAATACAACAGCCATTGGCAATTGTTTAATGAAGGTTGGGTCAAGTCAATGATGTTTTGCTCAGTGAGAGGAAGAAAGAAGGTTAGAGATGTGTGCAGCATGTGCATTTTGCAGTGTTATTGAGTATCAGCTGCCAGCACATGCATACCTGCACTCTCAGTAGCATATGGACAGCAAATATATGCAATAGCACAGATGGAAGCTTTAGCATCTAATTCCCACTGATTTCAGAATTTGTAATTTATGCCTTGAAAACTTCCCCTCTCCATCTCTAGAGAGGAGTGAGAAATGTTACTGTTTAGTAGCTGTAGTTCAGACTGAAGGAATGCTGTGTTAGGCACTCATATGGATGTGCTAGAGCCTGAGGATACTCTGCACATTTCCATACATTGGTGTCATTTGACATTGAGCAGTTTGATGTGTATGATGAACCAAAATAAGAATCTGATGTGCCATAGAGTATCAGAAAACTTTTCTGTGTCTCAGTTTCTGCAGGAAGTCAAGCATTCACTTACAAGTTCTGTCTACAATTTTGCCCCCAGTCTGAAAAGTAGTCAGGCAGATGTTGTCACCTGTGTGGCTGTGTTGTTTGTATTCATTAGGCCAGCTCTCACTGGAAACATTAATAAACCATTCCTGGTGGCTGCTCTCTATTGGCTACCAAGCTGCAGAGCAACCACTTTACCTTGGACATAAAAGAGAAGCATTGCATACACAGGTCTGATCATCTAGTCAGTTCAAACAGGACTGTGTTAAACTTAAAATATTTACACAAGTCTCCTTCTCCCAAAGAAACATTTATAGCCGATGGTGATCCAGTGACATTTGAGATCTCAACACACATTAAAAATGTCTCAGTCCAGAGATTATCAAAAAAGGGCTAAGGTGAACATATTTTTAAAGTGTCTGTCATGAACAACCCCTTAAGAGTCTCAGCACTATAGACAATGATTTAATAGAAGCTATTAGGATTTTAAACTTCCACAATAGTAGGTTTATTCTGAATTCTGACAGACAACTTCCAGCTTTCTGGCTCTTTTCTTCTGAGAAAAAACCCACACCACCAAAAATATAATGTCCTGGGATCAGAACATCAGTTTCCTAGTGCCTTCTTTATTATTAAAAAGTTGGATTTTTCCCTTCAGGTTTGTTTTGTATGTCATGTGGATGTCAAACCAGAGTGAAAGAATACAGTGTCTCAAATTATGAGCTTGTGAAGGCCTCCAGTAATTGTTTTGATCAGTGTGTGAAGCCAACACATCTGAGGGTATGTGCTGCCAACAGCTTCCAGCAGGTCTTGGAAGGAGAGTTCTTATTCATACTGGCATTTTAATTCAGGACTCTACTTTTGACATGAATCTCCCAATGGTCTCTGTTTTGCAGTACCTTGGTCTTGGAGTACATGAACTAGGTTCCTTATGGATGTAATTATCTGAAAGCTGTGTTCCAGAAATATTCCAGGAGGGTTCCACAGCCACAAATGGATCCTTAATCCAAAGTAAAGATCATCTGAAATGTATTTTTTCAGCACCTCAGATCCTCACTGTTTCACTCTACACATCTTCTCCTGTAGTCCACAATACATGCCAAGTGACACAGTCACTGAGCAACATACAGAATTGGAATTAATTGAATTTTTTTAGTGTGGGATGGTCTGGATTTGTTTTTATTAACAGTTTCCCAATAAACCTATAAATAACTATGCACATAATCTTAGGATATCAATGCTGAATGTGACTATCTGATGATAGGGTAAAATGCATAGGATACCTTCTTTGTATATATATACAACCTAGCATTATTCAAATATATGTACATGCTTCTGGTTATTCAGGGATACAGTCTAGCCATGCACATATTGGTAGCAAATCTCCATTCCAAGAAAATAATGTAATAAAATTAATGGATGAATTCTTTTTAAAAGTTGAGAACAACTGTTCTATTTATTGATTGATTTATTTATTTGTATTTATGTGACTAAGAAAAAATGTAACATTTTAAAAACATATGATATTGTAAAACATGCAGCCATCTTCTGTTCAGGTATGAATTGGGGAGTTCATGTGTGTGTTTACAGTAGCAGAAAAATGTAGTTTATGATCTGTGTTACAATACAGATTTTCATGGTCACAGAGAAAAGAATGTTACAACCTTGCTATGTGTATTTAATGTTTGTGTTTCAGAACTGGGTCTAACATAGTTGTCATCTGAAAGGTGCCTTGCTGTTGCATTGATTAATTTTTCCTTTTTCTGGGTATCCTGTGTAGCTAACATGATTCTTCCCTGGATATTCATTAAAATTTAAATCAGGCCTGTAATTCAGTAACCTTCCAAGCCTATTAATAGTTAAAAGAGTGCAGATGGAAATTCACCAAATTCCTGCAATGCAAAGAATACCACAAAAACTTACCTCAGGGCACATATGTAAGTGGGAGGCATCAAGACACAGTTGGACAGGCATGATAATTCAATAATATCAAAGTATTCTGACTGAAATTCAGATGTCGAATAGGAGACATTACAAATAATGAAAGAATTTATCAAGTGTAGTAAACCAGAAGCCTGCCAGAAAGATGGAAACTAGGACCTGATTTTGCTAACAACAGAGATAAAATCTTGTATGAAAGAATGTTGGAGGACTTGAGGCTCACTCTGGAATCCATTATGTATGGAAAAAATACAAATTTAGATTGAAAAAAAAAAAGTCATGAGTGCCAAGCAGCATGGAAGTTCAGCTTTCCAGACCTTTAAAATAGCAGGAATTCTGCCACATCCTGCCCCCCAGCTATTAGTATAATTGAGCCTGTAAAATACAGTCAAAACACATTGATTCCTGAAACTTCCTGATTACATGCTGATGATTACGAAAGCCAACTGCAAGCTTCCTTTAATTTTAAATTTTAATTTAAATGTTTATTTCAGTAATTCTAGGTCAAACTGAAATCTAGGGAAAAAAAAGGTTTAAAACAGGAGTAGACACCATGATAAATGTTGGTGATTGATTTGTCAAATATGCTCTTTTTTTTCAACTTAGAAATAAATGCAATATATGTGTTCATTTTATTCTTTAGGAAAATCATTTCAGGAGATTTCGAATGCCAAAACCACAGTATAATTTATTTTAGCAGTCACCTTTTCAGCAGTAATGAACATATTTCCTGGGAGACTGACAGACTATTGCACAAAGTAGAAGATACTCTCTTTCATTAAAGCAAAAAGAAAAAATTGTGTCTTGCCAGAAAAACATAACCATGAAAAAATGCTTTCAGTAACAGTAAATTGATATCAAATACTTCTAATGGAATAATTTTCCTTTACAAGTTCTGCTCTTACCTGTCTTTTGAGACGGTCGGACAAGCAAGGAATTTGAAATGGAGTTAGTGCTACATGCAGATTGAATGTTCTTGATAGGACCTCAGATCCCTCACTTTCTTGGTAGTGTTGGGGCAGGTTATGCAGTAGCAGGTTATCATGTTCAATATTTGAACTTTTAGGGGAAGATGCAGGATAAAATACCAAATACCAGAGAATTTGTTACTGCATCTGAATACTAAGGAGAAAACAGATGAGTTCTGCCTAATTCTGGCAAGTGTCTATAGGAAACAGTGGTTGCTTTTACTGCTGCTACTGGTTATTTGTACCAGGTTACAAAATAAAACAAACATAAAAACAAAATGAAAAGAAGCAGATTAAAGAGGTGTGATACTATTGCTTTGTGTTACTGATGAACAGAAGCTGGAAATAAACTTTCAAGTAAGAGCATAAAGTTTGGACTTGCACAGAAAAGGACTTCTGCACAGAAAGTCTCACTTGGTGAATTCAGTTTCACTGTGAAGTTCCAGTCCCACTCTGAAAAGGACTTTAAATCCATGATACTTTTAATAGAAAATATCTTTTTCCTTAACTGCCATGGTTTTTGTCTCTACATCTGTGCTTAGGGGAAATGATTCAGTCCTCCTTTCACTTGAACAAATTTGTATTTCAACGCTGGTCGATTTCAGCTGTTTGTGAGGAGAAGAGGTGTACTAGGTCAGTGTAAACCCCTGAACTCTCCAGAACTTCATGCAGGCATTTATATCTAAACAAGGTGCCTCTGCTTTGAGCTGCTCTCTTGTGCATGACAAAAGCACCAGGACTTTTACTTTCTATCAGATGAAGCTTTGGTTCACAGTGACAAAGAGTCTTCTCCAAAGAGAAGACCAAAAGACAAAAAACCACCATCAGCTTCTTAGACAAAGTAGACAAATAAGCACTACTGCTTCCTTTTCCATCCACCAAGAGCCAGCAGAGCATTCCCTTGTATCTGTGCCTGCTTCTTCTGGGACAGTCCTGGGGAAGCCCTCAGGAGCTGTTTGTTCCATGACGAGCACAGTGTGGAATAATGGCTTGATAAGTTCACAAAGGGAAGCACTGAATTCACTCTGCTTTCCACACACTGTGACAAGATTCCTTTTGTCTAAAAAACAATGGCTCATCATGTGAAGAAGGCTGAGAGGCCTTGGTTTTACATCCTTACATTTTGAGTTGTACTTTTAAGACTTCTGTGTTGCTCTGCACTTAATGATCTGCTAGCTTTTGGATATTCACCTTAAAATGGGAAGAAGAGTCTGAGAAGAGTCTCAAGGAGAAAGGAGCAATTTATATTCATCTGACTGGTAGGTTTGCTATCCTGACTTTGGCAAAGCTTTCACAGAAAAGATATTTTAAACAAGTCCTCTTCTTCTCTAGCATATGTCAGTAAAATGCAAAGGATTTTGCTTTGCCTTATTAAAATAGGGAACTAATTTGAAAATATTTGAAATATGTTATTCTTCCAGGATGTCTGGAAGTTTCAGCCATATGTTTTTCAAGGAAAGAAGTTGATGTAGCATATTCAAGTGAAAAAACCTAAGCTAATTCTATCATGCTGGCAGATTATAGAGTATTGGGTAGGTCTAATATGGTATCTATATGAACACTATGGGAATCTTACATTGATGACTCACATTCAAGTACAACTGGCTTGCAATGAGAAAAATGTTCTGAGTTGTTGATCCATAATCTGCAAGTGGGCAAGAAACAGAAATCAGACTTTCCTTCTAGCAGAACTGCTGTGGTTCTGCTAGAACTTGCAATGCAATGCACTTCTGAGTCCACATTGTTCCGACCCCAGTGGATTTCCTTTCTATCCAGATTTATTAGCCTGTCTCAGAAACTTATTTCTGGCTGCCAGAATTACAGATGGAGCCTGTGACTAGCAGATTTTTTGCCCCCTGCCTGTTGCACATATAGGGAGGTACCACATTTCATGGGTTCTCTTTGCAACTCCATGACAGCAGCTGCCCATTGAGGCAGGGATCTGTGTCATCAATTTTACTTCATCAGTCTCCTAGCATTCAGACATCATCCATAGCACCAGGTCATGATTTGACTGCACTCAGCTTCAAATCCTCATTATGCATACAGACTTAAAACTATCTGCAGTCTTACCCAGAACACCAGCACCAGGACCACTGATTCACCACAGTCCACCCTCCCTCATCAAAAGGGTTCATACAGGACATACATATACTATGTCCCTGCAGCTGCACTAGTCCAAAAGCACCACTCAAATCCTAAAATTTGCCTTCAGCTCCAGAAAATTAGTTCCTTGCACAGCACTTTCAGGTGGCTGGCTCGGGGACCTCAAGTTTGTAGTCACTGACACCTGCCTTTAGGAGCAGGACCCAGATCAAGGGTCAGGACATCCCTAAGAATAGTGCTGTGCTCTCTGGACACAGTCCAATGCATGCAGAGGAGCCCCTACTGTCTGTCCAGCTCTGTTCCCTGGCAAATGGGTCCAATTCCTTGGCAGAAGAATCCAAGGGGATTTTACCTCAGTGACCAAAGTCAAAAGTCTTATTGATCCAGGGGAAATCACCCACAAAGGAAATCAGAAGTTTCCAGGATGATATCTCTCCAAAGCAGGAGCCCCCATCATACACATTTCAGCCCCAGAGCTTTCAGAAATCCATGATCAAGAGAACAAATTATCTCACTGGGAGGCTTTGCTGAGGAAAAACTCCCAGTGGGAGGAAGTAGGAAGGTATAGGAAAATGATACATGATTATTTTGAGAAATGACACTGAAGTAAAAATTGATTTCTAAATGTAACAAATATTGTGCTTACAGAACCCTAAAGAAATACTATTCCAACACAGGAGACAGTATTTGGAGATCAGCCCCTCTCTTCCCAACCATTATTGTCTGTCTCTTTGGAAGAAAAGAAAAAAAATTAATAGGAAACTGTAGGGCTGAACTCTGAAATAAGCTTACCTTCTTATTCAGTGCACAGTGACTATGCTTTGGTCTGTGTTCTGGCAGTGTTTGACATCACAGCAAGAAGGTGTTGGGGAGCAGCACACAGGATGAGGCAGCTGGTGATGCCAGCAGGGGTTTAACTGTTGAATGGGATGGAAGGATGTTAGAGCACCCCTGGGAGCTGGGATCCCACACACATGTAGGTCATGTGCAGTATTACCTCTCCTGAATAAAGCAATAAATACAGCACAAACCAAGACAGTTTGTTACAGAAAATTTGATTGGGAAGAATTTAATGAAGTCATGTGGATGTTGGTTCAATTCTTGACAAATTAGCTGAGCCTAGTGGATTTCAAGTAATGCAGGCAGCACAGCAGCAAGACTTCCATGAAGTGCCAGTTTTTTATTCCTATTCCTGGAGATACCAATATTCTTTGCTAAGATCTTGTGGGATGTTCACACCATCCTTCAAAACAGTTGGAGCTGGCCACCACTGGTGGAGTTTGGATTCTGGTCAAGTTGGCTTGCTGGATGTTTTTGCCTTCCCGTGTTTGACAGACATGGTGATAGATTTTGATCTGTTTTACTTCCTTCTGCTGACCTTTTCTCTCAGTATGTTTTTTTTTGTTTGGCTTGAATTGGCAGCAAAACAAATAGATGCATTTGAAAAGAGTGATTTTTTCTGTTGTTTTTTCTCACCAGTGAGAGCAAAACTAGATGGAGGTCCTACTTTTCTTGGAAAAGCAGTGTGAAAAAAGCTGGAAGCGTGTCTTTTGGCAAGTGATAGAACATAAATAGCTTTTCTGAATACATCTTAAATGCACTATTGTGTTATTAATAACCAGTTGAGCCAATTGGTTATTGGTTTATTATGATTTTGAACCACTGATTTGTTTTTAACCTGGATAACTTGGCCATCATATTAAAGTGAACTGAGCTTTAACGCTTTTGCCATGTGCAAGTGTACAGCTATATCAGTGATTTCCAGAGTTCACAAGTTTAATATATTCTAAAAAAATAATTATTTCAGTATGTCTTTTTCATGCTCTATCTTACTCTAGAGCTGAATGTTTGGAAAGGCTCAGCTGAATATTTTCCTTCATTGCATTAATTACTCAACTGTTGAAAAATGTCTGTTATTTCCTTCCAAAAATATACTATGGAAGAATTAGAGTTGTGATTTTAGGACACAATGGGAATGAGTAACCTCAGCTGTTATTACAGAGGGTGTGCTGACTGGAAGAAAAAGGCTCAGGACATCAGTTCTAGACTCTGAATCTTTACACAAAAAGGTCATCCCCCACATGTAAATCTGTCAGTACCTTAGCTGTGTGTTTCACTGCCACCTGTATCTCCACATTACTGAATTTCTTTGGCAAAAAACTAATTGGGAGGATGAAGGTCCTTGATACATCTCTGTATAGCTCCCTTACCAGGCTACAGTTGATGTTCTGTGCTGGTGGAGCAAGGGAAAGATGGATATCATAAAATCACAGAATGCTTGAGGTGGGAGGGGACTTCTGATGGTCACCTGGCACAACCCCTACCCAGGCAAGGCCACCTAAATCAGGCTGCCTATGACCATGTTTCCAAGGAGGGATCTATCACACCCTCTCTGGGCTCAGCCACCCTCACAGGCTCAGTGCTTCCTTATGTTCAGATGTTTCAGTCTTCTCACTGGGCACAAATGAAAAGAGCCTGGCTCCCTGTTCTCCTGCAGCCTCCCTTCAGTGTTTGTACGCATTGATGAGATCCTCCCTGAGCCTTTTCTTCTCCAGGCTGCACCATTCCTGCTCAGCCTTCCATCATATGAGAAATGTTCTAGACCCTTCATTAGCTTAGTGGCCTTTCACAGATCCAAAAAGAGCCAAAGCAAGCTGTTTGTTGAAGTGAGAAATTATACATATTCTTATCCTTAAGCTGGTGTTAAATGGCAAAAGTTAGAAGGAATTGATAGGCAGATTATAATTATTATAATTATAATACACACTGCAACAAATTATCTCTTCATGCTTTATGTCAAATGCCACTGTAATTTCTTTAAAAAAAATTATTTGCTCTAGGAATGGTTATTAAAAGACAGAAAATTGACATGACCAGACTTGTTAAGGTTTAAAGTTCATGAGATAGATTTTGTAAAGCCAATGCTGTAATTTCCTTTTTTCTAACTCCTCCAGGAGTTTGCCGTGCTAATTTGCATCCCAGGTTCTATAAGGGAATACACGATTCTCCCCAAAATCAGGCTTTACAAGGAGTGTTATTTCTGCCCTCTCGTGGCCACGGACCATTTTGCAGTTCTGCATCGATGAGAATTCCAGACTTGAATCTCATTTCCATAATTGCAAATTGCTTTTTCTTTAGAGAACAGACATATGTTTTGTATCTCCGAGTCAATTTTCCTGTATAAAATGTATTTATGTATATATTTCATTTGAATATAATAGTTGATTATCAAATTAATTACTTAAAAATCTTCTAGTTTATGTCATAACCCAGAATATGAACCTGTGACTTGCATGTTACAAGAAACAGTCTGAACAATAAATTTTGTAGCACGCATGTAAGAGCATATAATGCAATAGTGATTTAAGAGAAAAGTATCATAGAAAGCAAGAATAGATTATTCACTGTCAAATAATACTAACAAATGAGAATATTTTTCTGTTATGTCCTGGAAAATGGGGAAAAAAACCTCATGACTTTATACATTACCTGCAAACTTTTTTCCTCTGTGCTCTTTTTCAGTCAGCCCAAGTTACTGTATCCTCATTTTGGTGATTTCTGGGTTAACTGAGAAAATCACTATTGCACATATTGTGCTAGTGCAAAACTGTGCATCATCTGCACTTAGCAGCAGAGGGAAATAAGACCCAGAAAGAATTTATCACTAGTTACACATTTGAGATGGGGGTGGGCTCTGAAATCCTCCAGGGCCCCCCTGGATTCATAAAATCATATGCAGTATAAATGTGTGCAAGAACATATCTGGTAGGAAATGTCTTGAAATACAGAACTTCCAGAAACATGCAGTGGAGGCTGAGCAGACACAGGAATTTCTGAAAACTGCCTGCTCTTTTCCCCT